GGAAATTTTTTGATGGATAGATGGACGGGGGGATGATGGATAGAGGGATGGATGGATGGATGGAGGGGTTGATGGTTTTAGATGGAGGTTGGATGGGGAAATAGTGGATGGATGGGGGATGGATGATGGATGGAGGGAAAGGGATGAGGGAAAAGGGAAAGGAAAGGGGAAATGGTTTGGATGGATGATGGAGGGAAAAGGAAAAGGGTTTTGGGATGAGGGGTTGGGGGGATGGTTGAGGATGGTTGATTTTTTGTTGGTGGGTGGGGGGGTGGGGGGGTTGGGATGGTGGATGATGGATAGATGGACGGATGGGGGGGGGGGGTTTTTTTTTTTTGGGGGAAAAAAATAGTTTTTTTTTTTTTTTTTTTTTTTTTTTTGGGGGATGGATGGATGATGGTTTAAGGATGGGGAGGGGGAAGGGGAAAATGAATTTGGAAAGGGGATGATTGGGATAGAGGGGGAGGGAAATTGGAAAATGAAGGGGGACGGAGGGGAATGGGGTTTTGGAATGGGATGGAGGGTTTAAAAAATGGAAAAGATGGGGATGGATGGGGATAAATGGTTTGATGGAGGGATGGAGGGAATGGGGACGGGAGGGGTTTGAGGGTTTTTTAAAAGGGGAAAAGGGGAAAAGGGTTTTGGAAAGGAAGGGAGGGGAATGGAAGGAGGGTTTGGAAATAGATGGATGGAGGGATGGATGATGGAGGGAAATGGAGGGATGGAGGGGATGAGGGATGTTGGAGGATGGATGAGGGAATGGATGAGGGTTTTTGGATGAAAAAATGGTTTGGATGGATGAATTTGGATGGATAAGGGTTTTGGGGGGGATGGAATGGAGGGAAAAATTGGAAAATGGATTGGGAGGGTTTTGGAATAGATGGATGGATGGAATGATGGAGGGATGGATAGATGGATGGAATGGATGATGGATAGATGATAGATGGGATAGATGGATGGATTTTTTTGATGGATAGATGGAGGATGGATGATGGATAGATGGATAGAGGGGGAGGGGTGATGATGGAAAAGGGAATGGAATAGATGGATGGGGGGTTTGGATTGGATGAGGGAAATGGGATGGATAGATGGATGATGGATGGGATTTTTTGGGTTAGATGTTAGGGATGGAGGGATGGATAGATGGATAAAATTGGATAGTTTTGGATAGATGGAGGGGGAAAATTGGAATGTTGGATAGAGGGAAATAGAGGGATGAGGGAAATGGATGGATGTTGGATAGATGGATGGAGGAGGGAATTGGATGATGGATAATGGAGGGGAAGGATAAATGGATAGAGGGTTTGAGGGAAAGGATGGATGATGGATAGATGGATAGATGGATAGATGGATAGATGGTTGGCAAATGGATGATGGATGGGTTTGGAAGATGGATAGATGGATGGATGGTGATGGAAATGGGAATGGATGGTGGATGATGGATGGGAGGATAGGATTGGTTTTGGATGGATGATGGATAGATGGTAATGGAAAGATGGAGGGAATGGATGATGGATAGATGGATGGAATGGATGAGGGAGGAAAATGGTGTTTGGATAGATGGACCCGGAAATTGGGATGAGGGGTTTGAGGGAAATGGATGGGGATGAGGGAAAGGGGATGGATGGATGGAGGGGAGGGGATGGTGATGGATGGATGGTTTGGAAAGGGGAAATGAGGGAAATGGAGGGAAATGGATGGAAGGGATGGTGGAGGGTTTGGTTTTTAAAAATGGAGATTGGGGGGGGCTGTTTGGGATAGAGGGGTGGTTTGGGGGGGATGGAGGGAAAGGGTTTTGGTATGGATGAGGGGTAGATGGGACGGAGGAGATGGTAAAATTGGATGGATGGATGGATGAGGGAAATAGATGGAAGGATGGAGGGGATGGAAGGGTTTGGTTTGGTTGGGGAATGGGTGGAAATTATAATGTTGGATGGCATGGAGGGATTGGAAGGGAAATGGAAAATGGATGGCCTAGGTTTGGGAGGGGAAGGGATGATGGGAGGGATGGGAGGGATGGAGGGGAAATAAAAATTGGAATGGATAGAGGGGAAAGGGGAAGGGGATGATGGAGGGAAATGGATTGGATGGGGATGGAGGGATGGAGGGGGAAGGGGAGGATGGATAGATGGATGGAAAAAAATGGAATGAGGGGGAGGGGTCGGATGATGGATGGTGGATGGATGATGGATGGATGGGATAAATGGAGGGGTGATGGATTGGATGAGGGGTGGAGGGAGATGGATGATGGGGAATGGTTTGGATAAAAATGAGGGATGGATGGATGGATGGATGGTTTGATGGATAAAATGGTGGATGGGATGAGGGGATGAGGGGTTTAGAGGGGGATGGAGGGGATGATGGGGATAGATGGAAAAAGATGGTTTAGAGGGGATGGGGGGAGGGAAATAGATGGATGGATTGGAGGGAAGGTTTTTAGATGGATAGATGGAGGGGTGGAGGGAGGAAAAGATGGATAGAGGGGATAGATGGAGGGGATGGGGAGGGTTTAGAGGGAAATAGATGGATGGATGGTTTGAGGTATAGAGGGGATGGAGGGGATGGTGGAAATAGATTGGATAGATGGATAGAGGGAAATAGATGGTTTGGAAAGGATGTTTGGGATGATGGATAGAAGGGGATTAGAGGGGAATGGGAAGGGGGATGATGGAAAAGATGGTTGGATGGGGGATGGATAGATGGATAGATGGATGGAGGGGATTTGGGAAAAGATGGATAGATGGATAGATGGATAGAGGGAAAATGGATGGGGGAAAATGGAGGATGATGGATAGAGGGAAAAAGGGGGAATGAGGGGATGGAGGGAAAATGATGGAAAAGGGAAATGAGGGGAAATGTTTGGGATGGAGGTTGAGGGAAAAAAATGGGAATGAGGGAGGGAAATGAGGGGAAAGGGAAATGGATTGGGAATGATGGTTGGTTTTGGGATGTTGGATGGAGGGGAATGGATGGATGGATGATGGATGATGGATGGAGGATATGAGGATGATGGATAAAAAATGGATGGATGGATGAGGGAAAATAGATGGATAAAATGGATAAAATGGATGGATGGATGTTTGGATAGTTTGGATGGAGGGGATGATGGATAGATGGATAGAGGGATGGATGGATGATGGAAGAGGGAAATAGTTGGTAGAGGGGGGAAGGGGGTTTGGAATGGTATGGGATAGATGGATAGATGGATAGAGGGAAATGGATGGATGGGATGGATGGATGATGGTTAGATGGAGGGAAAGGGAGATGGGAATAGATGGATAGAGGATGGAGGGAAAGATGGTTTGATGGTTTGATGGATAGAGGGGAGGGAAAAAATAAAATTGATGGAAAAGAGGGGTTTAGAGGGGAATTAGAGGGAAATTTGGGATGGGGAGGGATGGATACATGGAGGGGTTGGATGATGGATTAGAGGGAAATAGAGGGATAGTTGGAATAGATGGATGGAAATGGAGGGGTGGGAAGTTTTGGAAAATAGATGGATGGGAAGGGGGAAAATGGTTTGGATAAAGGGGATAAAATGGGATGAGGGGAATGATGGTTAGATGGTTAGTTTGGGAAAAGATGGATAAAAGGGAAAGGATGGTTTGATGGATGATGGATAGGGGGAATAGAGGGAAATGGATGGTTGATGGAAAAGATGGATGGATGGATGATGGTAGATGGAGGGAAAATGGAGGGGGATAGAGGTTTGATGGATGGGATGGATAGATGGAGGTTTGGGAGGGGCGGGGGGGATGGATGAGGGATAGATGGATGGAGGGAGGGATGGAGGGATGGAAAAGAGGGATGGGGGATAGTTGGATAGATGGTTTAGGGAAGGGGATGGGGAAAACCGGCTAGCTTTATCTGGTTTCTTTCTCCTCGGTTTTCCTCTTTTTTCCCAAAACCCGGATCCACGAGCCGTAATTTTTTTAAAAGTTTAATTTTTCCTTTTTTTAAAAAGGTTTGCATTTTTAAAAAGGGATGTAATTGTCCAAAAGAAAAGTTTTTTCCCAAAACTAAATTCCCTTTTGTTTTACAAAAAAAAAAAAATGTTTTTGGATCTGACGGATCCGGGAAAACTCTAAAAAAATGGGATCGTTGCTCATGGACCCGGGGAAAACCCCTGGACCCAAAAATTGAAAAATGGGGATCTTTGCTGAGGGAAATCCGGAAACCCTCTAAAAGGTGGGAACTTTGGACCCCGGTGTTGCTATAAAAGTTTTTCCCTTCCAATAAAATCTCTGTAAAAAAATGAATCCCCCAGCCAGGAAAAACCCCAAAAATTTGAACCATCACTTTGGTTCCCCCCTCCTCCGGAAAGTAAATGGCAGTGTTCTTCCAGCTGTGCTGTTTTTGGTCTCCCGGCCCCCCCTCCGCCGGAAGGGGAAACCCGGGTTGGGGGGGTGTGGAGTTTTTTTGGGTTTTTGGGGGGTTTTTAACCCCAAATTTTTTTAAAAAACCCTTGGCTTTGGCCCAAAAAGGGAAAACCTTTTTTTCCCCTCCGTCGGGAAATTTTTAATTTTCTTTTTCTAAAGATATTATTAAACCAGTCTGGGACGTTACATCAATTTCCCAGACCCAACCAAAGAAAAAAAACGTTCCAAATTTAAATTTTCCCTTAAGTAAGCTGTTTAATGGGGGCAGAAAAAAAGCAGTTTATTGATATTTAAAATAGCTTTCTTCAGCCCGCCCCAGTTTTTAAATTCTTTATTCGGGACGGGGTTTTATATTTTCTTGCTCTATTTTCCCCCTTTTTCCACAATACTGGCCGTTTTTTTTTTAAATTTTAACCCAAAAATAAAACCTTTTTTTTTTTAATTTTAAAACCTGTTTTAATTTCAGTTATCTTGTTTTCAAAAACGAGATGTTTTTAAAGATTTAAATTTCTCCCCTTATTTGAGAATCTGTTTTAACAACATGAATATTGATGAGTTATTTAGTAGAAAATAATGTATAGATTGTGTGTAGCTGATCTATCGATGTCTGTCCCGCCTCAGGTTGGGTTATGTGGACCATGCTGAGGAGTTGGCCTCCAGGTTCCTCCAGTGCTTCCCAAAGAACCGCCTCTCAGCGCGGGCAGCCCTGAACCACGAGTACTTCAGCAACCTTCCTCCGCGGCTCTGGGAGCTGCAGGACAGTACGTATCGGAGCAGCGAGCGGAACGCTGCACCAGCACGTTATCACGATTAATATTCAACATCATCTGCTTCTCAGTCACTTCCTGATCCCTCAGAGATCCCAGATAAATAGTAACGTTCTTTCTGTGATTTAGGATCAACAGCAATAAATCTGAAGGTTGATGGTTCTTAGATCAATGAACCAAGAACAGCCTGAGGGGGAGGAGTCTACCAACCGACAAAGATGGCCACCAGGTTCCTCTACCACTGATTTAAAATTGATTCTCAGAGAAAACTGAGAGGAATTATCCGATCAGAGCAACTTTCCGATCGGAGGCTCTTATCCAATTGGAGCAATTTTCTGATCAGAGGCTATTGTCCGATCGGAGGGATTATACAATCGGTGAAAGTATCCAATCAGAGCGATTGTCCGGATAAGAGGCTCTTATCCAATCAGAGGCCTTTTATCGATCAGAGGCTGTTATTCGATTGGAGCGAATTTCCAATCAGAGCGATTGTCTGATCAGAGGATCTTATCCGATCAGAGCGATTATCCGATTGGAGCTATTGTCCGATTGGAGCGATATTCGATCAGAGAGATTGTCCAAATAGACAGATTGTTCAATCGGAGCTATTTTCCGATCAGAGGCTATTGTCCGATCGGAGCTTTTATCCTATTGGAACGATTATCCAATCAGAGGCTCCTATCCGATTTTCTCCTTTCAGGTTATTTTGCTTCTAATGTCTTTGAATTTCCCACAACAGCCTTTCCGTCAGGTTGAGTCTTGACTTTGCTCTAAGCTCACAGAGCGGCTGGGAAGGAATGTGCTGCTGTGGAAGTTTGGTTTGGAGGCGGAGCTTGGACTCTGGATCAGTGAGCTGCACAGACTGGCACTCGCTCAATAGGTCTCCATCTGTTCCTCCCCTCTTTGTCCTCTCCTTTCTTCTGTCCTCTCTGCCTCCGTCTGTCTGTGAGTTAGACGGCCAGGAGCGACCTGGGCTTGTTTTTGATGCTTCAGAGGAAGTGGGTCTGGATGCCGTTGGGACGCTCAGCCCAGCAGGCCTCTGCAGGATTCTCACTTTGATTTTCTGTCTCCTTGACGGTTGTTTGCCCAGAGAAAAGTGCACCGAGGCTCCTTAAATAAACCAGGGCTGTGAAATTTCAGAAACACACAGCTTTTAGCTTTTACCACTGCTAGCTTTCAGCATGCCTGGGGTCTGGCAGCAGATTTCCCCGCTGAGCCTCAAGAGTCTGAAGCTGCAGCCAAAGCTTCACATTCAGGTTTTATTTCCTTCAGCGTCGAGTTGTTGCATCAAAGCGTATCAGAGACGACTAGCATCCACGCTCCCTTCAGCTGGGGTTCATTAGCGCTGTGAAAATGGACCTGAGCGTGCCTCCGCTGACGGGGTGGCCGTTTTAATTGGAGAATTCCATTTTAATCCCAGATTAGGATTTTTCTGCGTTATTAATCCTGTTATCAGCTCCCAGCAGGTTGTGGTGCTGAAAAAGAAGCAGCGGTCACTGACAGAAGGAGAGGAAAGACGTGGCTCATTTAGATTTCTGTCACGCTCGCTCCTGTTTTCCCCGCTCCGCCTTCATCTCCTCTGTTCTCCTCATGTGGAGGAGGCAGAGCAGGAGGAGCAGAGCGGGAGGAGCAGAGCAGGAGGAGCAGAGCGGCTCACACGAGGAGGATAAAACCAAAGCAACGTTTTCCTCTGTGGGAGAGAATGAAACCAATGAAAGGCAGAGAGATCAGGAAGTAGTTAGCTAGCCGTCAGCTGTGGCAGGAAAGGGATGGATGTGACAATAATCTGCTGGAATAAACAGCATCCCTTCAAATTAGATTGGCTTTAATCTTAGACAGATTTATTTAGTCATTTTATACACCAGTGTACACAACAAGACATTTCAATTTCATTTTTTAAAGCAGCCTTGAAAACAGTAATAAATACATAAAAAAGAAAATAATAGTAATATAAACAAATGACTGTATTTACATTTCTAAACTGGGACGGAGCTGAAACCTCGGACTGGTCCAGCTGCATGTCATGGATCACAGGTTTCATAGAAACTAGGGTTGTTATGGTCCTAAACTTTTCAGCTCCATACCGATACTAAGGAAAATACTCAATGCTCCGTACAACAAGGATAAAAACTCAAAATTTCAACTGAAATATTTTGATTAATAATTATAATACAATAAATAAATACAATAAACAATACGAACAATGTTTTGAGGTTGTATGCTGTGCACAATATTAAGCAAGCTTAATAAAAAACTTATAAAATTAAAATGAAGTGTTCCTTCCTTGGCTATGCTTTGCACACATAATGACGCTAGCCAAACCGGTTAAAAAACTAAAATCATTCTCAGCAGCTGTTACAGAAAATGTCTGAAACTGAAAAGTGCGTAGAACTATTCAATCACACAGTGTTCAGAAAGTGCATTTTCCTCTATTCTGCACATTAGATGAATGACTGTTTAGGTGCCACTGGTGGTAGCACTGTATCGATACTTTTAAAAATGACTATTGTATCCGGATACAACGTTTCAGTATCGATACTTTTTTGAGTATCGATACTTTTGACAACCCTAATAGAAACCGGACTGAAAAACTCCTGATTGGTGCAGAAATAACTCCAGAGGATCAGGAATCATTTCCAGGAAACATGGAACCATCACAGCATCTGGGAATATCGATTCCAAGGACCAGCCGGGAACTCCAGGAACTTTTTCCAACTGTTCCTTTGGATGAAGTTTCAGTGGGTCAGGCTGATGGTGTGAGCTGTGAGGAGCGTTATGATCGCCTCCTTCCCCTCTCTGCAGACACCATGCATGAAGATCTAAACTTCTACAACATGGCAACTAAAGTACTGAAATATTCAAAGGAAACAGAGAAAATGTTTTAATGACGTTACTAGCCAACATTACAGCTTATTTAAATAGAGAGAACCCAGAACTATGAGACAGAAATATTCAAAGACCTGCAGCGCTTTGCTAAAGTATTCACCCCCCTGGAACTTTGACCTTTAGTCACATTTCAGGCCTCAGATATGAGGATATAAAATGTTCATTTTATTTAGTCAGAGATCAACCAGTGGGACACAATTATCAAGTGGAACAAAACTTTCTTTTTACAAATAAAAAGCTAAGGAATGGGAATTATAAGAGCAGCAAACTGTCTCCAGAAGTTCAGTGAGGATCTGAGATTGATCCAATGAATGAATTAATGAAGATGATCAGCAGATCCACCGGAAACCAGCTGACTGAGAGCTGAGCAGCAAAGGTTCATCCCTTCATCCGCTCCCCATCTCAGACACCAACATCCAGATGTGAACGGATGAATCCAGAGCCAAACATCCAGATGTGAACGGATGAATCCAGAGCCAAACATCCAGATGTGAACGGATGAATTCAGAGCCAAACCTCCAGATGTGAACGGATTAATCCAGAGCCAAACCTCCAGATGTGAACGGATGAATCCAGAGCCAAACCTCCAGATGTGAACGGATGAATCCAGAGCCAAACCTCCAGATGTGAACGGGTGAATCCAGAGCCAAACCTCCAGATGTGAACGGATGAATCCAGAGCCAAACCTCCAGATGTGAACGGGTGAATCCAGAGCCAAACCTCCAGATGTGAACGGATGAATCCAGAGCCAAACCTCCAGATGTGAACGGGTGAATCCAGAGCCAAACCTCCAGATGTGAACGGGTGAATCCAGAGCCAAACCTCCAGATGTGAACGGGTGAATCCAGAGCCAAACCTCCAGATGTGAACGGATGAATCCAGAGCCAAACGCCCAGATGTGAACGGATGAATTCAGAGCCAAACCTCCAGATGTGAACGGATGAATCCAGAGCCAAACGCCCAGATGTGAACGGATGAATCCAGAGCCAAATCTCCAGATGTGAACGGATTAATCCAGAGCCAAACCTCCAGATGTGAACGGATGAATCCAGAGCCAAACCTCCAGATGTGAACGGATGAATCCAGAGCCAAACCTCCAGATGTGAACGGCTGAATCCAGAGCCAAACCTCCAGATGTGAACGGGTGAATCCAGAGCCAAACCTCCAGATGTGAACGGATGAATCCAGAGCCAAACGCCCAGATGTGAACGGATGAATTCAGAGCCAAACGCCCAGATGTGAACGGATGAATCCAGAGCCAAATCTCCAGATGTGAACGGATGAATCCAGAGCCAAATCTCCAGATGTGAACGGATGAATCCAGAGCCAAACCTCCAGATGTGAACGGATGAATCCAGAGCCAAACATCCAGATGTGAACGGATGAATTCAGAGCCAAACCTCCAGATGTGAACGGATGAATCCAGAGCCAAACATCCAGATGTGAACGGATGAATTCAGAGCCAAACCTCCAGATGTGAACGGATGAATCCAGAGCCAAACATCCAGATGTGAACGGATGAATCCAGAGCCAAACCTCCAGATGTGAACGGATGAATCAAGAGCCAAACCTCCAGATGTGAACGGGTGAATCCAGAGCCAAACCTCCAGATGTGAACGGGTGAATCCAGAGCCAAACCTCCAGATGTGAACGGGTGAATCCAGAGCCAAACATCCAGATGTGAACGGATGAATCCAGAGCCAAATCTCCAGATGTGAACGGATGAATCCAGAGCCAAACCTCCAGATGTGAACGGATGAATCCAGAGCCAAACATCCAGATGTGAACGGATGAATTCAGAGCCAAACCTCCAGATGTGAACGGATGAATCCAGAGCCAAACATCCAGATGTGAACGGATGAATTCAGAACCAAACCTCCAGATGTGAACGGATGAATCCAGAGCCAAACCTCCAGATGTGAACGGGTGAATCCAGAGCCAAACCTCCAGATGTGAACGGGTGAATTCAGAGCCAAACCTCCAGATGTGAACGGATGAATCCAGAGCCAAACCTCCAGATGTGAACGGGTGAATCCAGAGCCAAACCTTCAGATGTGAACGGGTGAATCCAGAGCCAAACCTCCAGATGTGAACGGATGAATCCAGAGCCAAACGCCCAGATGTGAACGGATGAATTCAGAGCCAAACCTACAGATGTGAACGGATGAATCCAGAGCCAAACCTCCAGATGTGAACGGATGAATCCAGAGCCAAATCTCCAGATGTGAACGGATGAATCCAGAGCCAAACCTCCAGATGTGAACGGATGAATCCAGAGCCAAACCTCCAGATGTGAACGGAGGAATCCTGAGCCAAATGTCCAGATGTGAACGGATGAATCCAGAGCCAAACCTCCAGATGTGAACGGATGAATTCAGAGCCAAACCTACAGATGTGAACGGATGAATCCAGAGCCAAACCTCCAGATGTGAACGGATGAATCCAGAGCCAAACCTCCAGATGTGAACGGAGGAATCCTGAGCCAAATGTCCAGATGTGAACGGATGAATACAGAGCCAAACATCCAGATGTGAACGGATGAATCCAGAGCCAAACGTCCAGATGTGAACGGATGAATTTAGAGCCAAACGTCCAGATGTGATTCCTGCATCAGAACGGTCTGACCGCCGTTCTATAAGAACCTGTTGTGAAAGGATGGTTGCATGTTATTCCAAATGGTTTCATATCAGAAGCTGTCTGGCTGTCAGTGAGCTCCTGTCTGAGCTTCATGCATTTCTCCCCCTGCAGTGTCTTCTATCTTCACCGTTCTAAACATCAAGCTGCAGACAGAGAGCGGGGACAGCATCCAGGTGTGTGCGCGGAAGAACAGCCACGGAAAGGCATCGTCTGGCAGCAAGCACTGACCTGAGGCAGCATCCTGCACATGGCGGCCTGACAGGTATGAGGCCATTAGCATGCAGGAAGCAGAGCTAAGCTGCAGCGCCCAGATGGATCAGCAGCTGCAGATTGAAGTAGAGCTCATCCAGCGTTCACATCCTGTAGGATTTGATGCTGTGATTCATGTTTGCTCTTCACTCTTTGTTGTCAAACTAAAAACAAAGCATTTCAGAACAGCAACATTAAACAGCATCAGTTTTAAAGGTCCAACTTTATTCTTCACTGGAAAATAAAACAATAACTAGAGGCTCCTAGAGCAGATTTAGTGCAGGAAAATTCCTCTGCAATTAGGCAAGAAGCCTGAAGCCCAGATCTGCTCATTCTGCCTCCTGCTGGGGATACAGGCATGCTTGGTGTGAGCGACCCCTCACCTGTAGCCCAGCAGGAGCTTCATTAGCAGTCAGGGTTCAGGCTCTCCTGTCTGGCTGCAGAGTCTGGGAGAGAAACTGGACTCCTTTAGACTCCAGGATGTTTCCAGCATCTGTCTGTAACTTCATGAAGACCTTTAGTTAGTTAGTTAGTCAGGAGCGGCCTGAGTGTTTGAGCTGGGAGGACCGTTGTGGTCATCTGAGTGATCCCCATCAATCTCCCTCATTGAACTCAGGATGCATAGTTAACACTGAGATCTGACGTTAGATCTAAACCCTTCATTAGCCCATTTAATGCTCCACATGCAGCCTGAGAGCGCCCTCTATTGGTCACTTGGTTGATATTTTACCAGACAAAATGGTCGGTCTTTGGAATCATCCAAAGCTTCAACGGCGCAGACCGAGCGTCCGCAGAGCACAGACTGACATCAGTTACTGGACTGTGAGCGGGTCTGAAGCTAACTTCACTGCTAGCATTCTGCTAATGGACTGGGTTACATAACCTTTTTAAACGCCCATCAGTGATGTAGCTGCCATTGATGACATCACTGATGGGCTACATCACAGAGTCCAAGAGGCTGTGGAGACCCCCCCCCCCCCATGTTTGACCCCGTCCAGCGCCTCAATTTTCTTACACAAAGGACACATTGGAGTTTTAGGGGAGGGGGGGGTCCCATTACCTTTGTGCTGGGTGTCAGAGTGGTTCTTGTAGGGGGTGGACATCCCCCTTTAAGCTGTGGTCTCTCATGGAAATGAGGCTCCAGTGTCGGTTCCTCTGGTTTCTCCTTTAGCTGCTAAACTTTTCCACCATAGCTGGTCTCTGAGCAGGAAGATGTGTCACTCCATTCAAACAGTCAGCCTGACCTTCAGAGGAAGGATCATCTCCTTCATCCAGTCAGGGGTCTGTTAGAAGATGGAGCTAGTGGGGCCTCCACCCGGGGCGTGGGCTCCATGCCGCCTGCACTGATGGAGAGAGAGCAGTAATAGGTGGGGGGGGGGCTCCTTTCTTTTCATTCACAGCGTGAATAAAGAGCTGCTATTTGCATGTAATAAAGTGCAGAGGCCAGGCATGCTGGGAATAATGGCCGCTCCAATAGTGGATCAGGAAGAGCACTGGGCTGGAGGGAAGATTAGCTCTGTAATCACCGACAGGTGCAGGGCCAGCTTTCTGCTGAAGAGCCTCCAGAACATCTAGATCCTCCAGAAAGCAGGCTGTGTGACTCCCCACCCCCCTCCCCCATGTCCCCTCAGCTGGTGCTTACATGATGGCCGCCCTCCTGCTCTGGGTTCCAGTGACGTCCTGGCAGATCAGTCAGCTCACAGCTTCATGTCAATGCCCCCCTGGTTCTGATGGTCCTGGTTCTGATGCTGAGTAGGTCTTTTTGGACCAGTTGAAGATCTGCAGTGTCTGGCTCTGAACTTTGAGCACTGACTCTGTTTCTGATACATTTCAGACAAGTTTCTGCTTTAATTCTGTGAACCAGAACCTGGAGCAGAACCCTGACAGGTGAGCCATAGATGGTTCCTAGAACCTGAAAGTGTATTTTAAAACGTAAGACATGAAACTCCTTATAAACACTCAGCAGGGTTCTGGAAAAACAGTGAGGACGGAAATACAATTTTCTGTTGTTCTGTATACCTGGAAGGTTCTGAAACCCTCCACAGACTTTACAGGACTGGTTCAGATGAGGGTGAATGTTAAGGTTTCTATTGGTGATTGTAACTGGTTCTGGCTGGTTCTGACTGGTTCTACCTGATTGTGGCTGGTTCTGACTTGTTCTGGCTAGTTCTGACTTGTTCTAGCTGGTTGTGGCTGGTTCTGACTTTTTCTGGCTGGTTCTGACTGGTTCAAACTGGTCCTGAATGGTTCTGACTTATTCTAGTTGGTTGTGGCTGGTTCTGACTGGTTCTGATTGGTTCTAGCTGGTTCTGACTTGTTATGGCTAGTTCTGACTTTTTCTGGCTGGTTCTGACTTGTTCTGGCTGGTTCTAACTAGTTCTAGCTGGTTTTGACTGCTTCTGACTTGTTCTGGCTAGTTCTGACCGGCTTTAACTGGTCCTGACTGGTTCTGACTTGTTCTGGCTGGTTTTGACTGGTTTTAGCTTGTACTGCCTGGTTCTGACTAGTTCTAAGTGGTCCTGACTTGTTCTCGCTAGTTCTTACTAGTTCTAGCTGGTTCTAACTTGTTCTGACTTATTCTGGCTGGTTGCAGCTGGTTCTAACTTGTTCTGGCTGGTTCTGATTGGTTTTAGCTGGTTCTGACTGGTCACAGGGACCTTCGTTCCTCCGTCCTCTGGTCACAGCGACCTTCGTTTCTCCGTCCTCTGGTCACAGCGACCTTCGTTCCTCCGTCCTCTGGTCACAGCGACCTTCGTTCCTCGTCCTCTGGACACAGTGACCTTCGTTCTTCTGTCCTCTGGACACAGTGACCTTCGTTCCTCCGTCCTCTGGTCTTAGCATAGTGACCTTCCTTCCTCCGTCCTCTAGTCACAGCGACCTTCCTTCCTCCGTCCTCTGGTCACAGTGACCTGTGTTCCTCCGTGCTCTGGACACAGTGACCTTATTTCCTCGTCCTCTGGTCACAGTGACCTTCGTTCCTATGTCCTCTGGTCATAGCATCGTGACCTTCGTTCCTCTGGACACAGCGACCTTCGTTTCTGTCCTCTGGTCACAGCGACCTTCGTTCCTCCGTCCTCTGGTCACAGCGACCTTCGTTTCTCCGTGCTCTGGACACAGTGACCTTATTTCCTCGTCCTCTGGTCACAGTGACTTTCGTTCCTATGTCCTCTGGTCACAGCAACCTTCGTTCTTCTGTCCTCTTGACACAGCGACCTTCGTTCCTCCGTCCTCTGGTCATAGCATCGTGACCTTCGTTCCTCTAGACACAGCGACCTTCGTTTCTGTCCTCTGGTCACAGTGACCTTCGTTCCTCCGTCCTCTGGTCACAGCGACCTTCGTTCCTCCGTCCTCTGGTCACAGCGACCTTCGTTCCTCCGTCCTCTGGTCACAGCGACCTTCGTTTCTCCGTGCTCTGGACACAGTGACCTTATTTCCTCGTCCTCTGGTCACAGTGACTTTCGTTCCTATGTCCTCTGGTCACAGCAACCTTCGTTCTTCTGTCCTCTTGACACAGCGACCTTCGTTCCTCCGTCCTCTGGTCATAGCATCGTGACCTTCGTTCCTCTAGACACAGCGACCTTCGTTTCTGTCCTCTGGTCACAGTGACCTTCGTTCCTCCGTCCTCTGGTTACAGCGACCTTCGTTCCTCCGTCCTCTAGTCACAGCGACCTTCATTCCTCCGTCCTCTGGTCATAGCATCGTGACCTTCGTTCCTCTGGACACAGCGACCTTCGTTTCTGTCCTCTGGTCACAGTGACCTTCGTTCCTCCGTCCTCTGGTCACAGCGACCTTCGTTCCTCCGTCCTCTGGTCACAGCGACCTTCGTTTCTCCGTCCTCTGGTCACAGTGACCTGTGTTCCTCCGTGCTCTGGACACAGTGACCTTATTTCCTCGTCCTCTGGTCACAGTGACCTTCGTTCCTATGTCCTCTGGTCACAGCAACCTTCGTTCTTCTGTCCTCTGGACACAGCGACCTTCGTTCCTCCGTCCTCTGGTCATAGCATCGTGACCTTCGTTCCTCTGGACACAGCGACCTTCGTTCCTCCGTCCTCTGGTCACAGCAACCTTCGTTCTTCTGTCCTCTGGACACAGCGACCTTCGTTCTTCTGTCCTCTGGACACAGCGACCTTCGTTCCTCCGTCCTCTGGTCATAGCATCGTGACCTTCTGTCCTCTGGACACAGCGACCTTCGTTCCTCCGTCCTCTGGTCATAGCATCGTGACCTTCGTTCCTCTGGTCACAGCGACCTTCGTTCCTCCGTCCTCTTGACACAGCGACCTTCGTTTCTCCGTCCTCTGGTCACAGCGACCTTCGTTCCTCCGTCCTCTGGACACAGCGACCTTCGTTCCTCCGTCCTCTGGACACAGCGACCTTCGTTTCTCCGTCCTCTGGTCACAGCGACCTTCGTTCCTCCGTCCTCTGGTCACAGCGACCTTCGTTCCTCCGTCCTCTGGACACAGCGACCTTCGTTTCTCCGTCCTCTGGTCACAGCGACCTTCGTTTCTCCGTCCTCTGGTCACAGCGACCTTCGTTCCTCCGTCCTCTGGACACAGCGACCTTCGTTCTTCTGTCCTCTGGACACAGCGACCTTCGTTCTTCTGTCCTCTGGACACAGCGACCTTCGTTCCTCCGTCCTCTGGTCATAGCATCGTGACCTTCTGTCCTCTGGACACAGCGACCTTCGTTCCTCCGTCCTCTGGTCATAGCATCGTGACCTTCGTTCCTCTGGTCACAGCGACCTTCGTTCCTCCGTCCTCTGGACACAGCGACCTTCGTTTCTCCGTCCTCTGGTCACAGCGACCTTCGTTCCTCCGTCCTCTGGACACAGCGACCTTCGTTCCTCCGTCCTCTGGACACAGCGACCTTCGTTTCTCCGTCCTCTGGTCACAGCGACCTTCGTTTCTCCGTCCTCTGGTCACAGCGACCTTCGTTCCTCCGTCCTCTGGACACAGCGACCTTCGTTCCTCCGTCCTCTGGACACAGCGACCTTCGTTTCTCCGTCCTCTGGTCACA